TTTTCCAGTTTTTGTGATTCTAATGATACGAAAGATGAGCAAAGGTAAAGTAATAGTCAAAACCTAAACGACTAATACAATTCTGCAGCTCAATGATAGTAGCAATGGCAGTCATTTGAACGAGAGTACCAAGGTGGAAATGGAAACAAAGCCAGGTAAGAAACTATTAAAATCAACAGCGGTGCTTAGCGGCCCCGTTAATTAAGCAAAAAAAAGAAAGTAAGTTGTGTATTTCAATAAAAACAGCTCCTTGTAGTCGTATGATATGATGATGGATAGAAGGAGCTAGACAAGTACGTGGATAAAGCAAACGGTTGGTTGTAACAGTTGGATCCAAATAGCTACAGAATGACAGAATTTCGCGACTAACAAGCTGGCGTGTGCAAAATTATATACGGGACGTTTTAATGCATCATCAGTGAGAGAAAGATAAGGGCGTTAAGGAGAGACGAAAGGAGGCAACTCTGTTTACAAAACTTCCACAAATATTTTACTAGGTAAAATAGCCACCACAGTAGTCGATAAATTTTTCTCAATGTAATAAGTGCTAGAAAATAATGCATTTATAAAATTTCCTGTCCCTTAAAACCAATAAAAATCACCTCTGACCTCTTATGATTCTCTTCTACCCTTGAATGCAAGCTGTCTATTCTATTTTGCATGTGTCAGTCTTCATAGGAAGGTTTAAAAAGCATCATCAGAGGAATAAGATATTGAGATTGAGGCTGCATATCCACAACTCTCATCCTAAATTGCAGTGTGACAATTCACTGACAGGCACTGAAAGCCTTAAATTTTTGTCGCATTAAGCGGATAGACCTCAACCTTAACCAGTGTTTGACTTTCAGTAGACAAATAAAACTTGTGAACTACCTTTTTGTCTACAGACCATCACACACGTAAATTAGCAATGTGACCTCAATTTGCCTTGTTAGTTGAAAACAGCATGCCCTAAATCAAATTGCAAATGAACTATTCAAAGGAAATGGTTTTAGATAAGCTCACATCAACTTGTAATAAGCTGAGGTATGAAACAGAACCACAAGGTGTGAACAAAGCAACAGACAAGGTGAAGCACTCCCTCATTTTCGTTACTGATAAAAGTCCTCCACATTAGGATTTTTAGGAGAAACTATAGAATTAAAGTGAAGCTATGCCCACCGGAAACATAAGTGAGAGAGTGGAGCGTTAAGTTCGTCGCCTTCAAGAGTCAGGTGTGGCCTATGATGCGGCAGCATAGTTGAAGGGCCAACTCACATTGGGTAAAACAGGCCACTTCTCATATCGATAACGCTGTTCCCAAGTATTAAAATAAACAGAAAAGCATTTATTAGTAACTGTAAGAGATGGCTTTCGAAAGACTAAGTGATATATCTGGTCGATGACAAATTGAACTAAAATAGTACAGAATTCTTCCAACTCAGTATTCAGGGCTAATTTGACCCCAGCGCTGTTATTCTTTCGACTAATCAGCACTTTGTTTTCCAGTTTTTGTGATTCTAATGATACGAAAGATGAGCAAAGGTAAAGTAATAGTCAAAACCTAAACGACTAATACAATTCTGCAGCTCAATGATAGTAGCAATGGCAGTCATTTGAACGAGAGTACCAAGGTGGAAATGGAAACAAAGCCAGGTAAGAAACTATTAAAATCAACAGCGGTGCTTAGCGGCCCCGTTAATTAAGCAAAAAAAAGAAAGTAAGTTGTGTATTTCAATAAAAACAGCTCCTTGTAGTCGTATGATATGATGATGGATAGAAGGAGCTAGACAAGTACGTGGATAAAGCAAACGGTTGGTTGTAACAGTTGGATCCAAATAGCTACAGAATGACAGAATTTCGCGACTAACAAGCTGGCGTGTGCAAAATTATATACGGGACGTTTTAATGCATCATCAGTGAGAGAAAGATAAGGGCGTTAAGGAGAGACGAAAGGAGGCAACTCTGTTTACAAAACTTCCACAAATATTTTACTAGGTAAAATAGCCACCACAGTAGTCGATAAATTTTTCTCAATGTAATAAGTGCTAGAAAATAATGCATTTATAAAATTTCCTGTCCCTTAAAACCAATAAAAATCACCTCTGACCTCTTATGATTCTCTTCTACCCTTGAATGCAAGCTGTCTATTCTATTTTGCATGTGTCAGTCTTCATAGGAAGGTTTAAAAAGCATCATCAGAGGAATAAGATATTGAGATTGAGGCTGCATATCCACAACTCTCATCCTAAATTGCAGTGTGACAATTCACTGACAGGCACTGAAAGCCTTAAATTTTTGTCGCATTAAGCGGATAGACCTCAACCTTAACCAGTGTTTGACTTTCAGTAGACAAATAAAACTTGTGAACTACCTTTTTGTCTACAGACCATCACACACGTAAATTAGCAATGTGACCTCAATTTGCCTTGTTAGTTGAAAACAGCATGCCCTAAATCAAATTGCAAATGAACTATTCAAAGGAAATGGTTTTAGATAAGCTCACATCAACTTGTAATAAGCTGAGGTATGAAACAGAACCACAAGGTGTGAACAAAGCAACAGACAAGGTGAAGCACTCCCTCATTTTCGTTACTGATAAAAGTCCTCCACATTAGGATTTTTAGGAGAAACTATAGAATTAAAGTGAAGCTATGCCCACCGGAAACATAAGTGAGAGAGTGGAGCGTTAAGTTCGTCGCCTTCAAGAGTCAGGTGTGGCCTATGATGCGGCAGCATAGTTGAAGGGCCAACTCACATTGGGTAAAACAGGCCACTTCTCATATCGATAACGCTGTTCCCAAGTATTAAAATAAACAGAAAAGCATTTATTAGTAACTGTAAGAGATGGCTTTCGAAAGACTAAGTGATATATCTGGTCGATGACAAATTGAACTAAAATAGTACAGAATTCTTCCAACTCAGTATTCAGGGCTAATTTGACCCCAGCGCTGTTATTCTTTCGACTAATCAGCACTTTGTAGCATTGGGATGTCTCATCTTAGTGCTAAAGTTTGTGAACAAGGGGACACTACAAGACAGCTGCAAATGCTACCTTATTCATATTCTGCATGCTAGTGGTGCAGTTATGTGAAGGTCATCAACTAAATT